CTTTTCTAGATTTTTCCGCTCTCAATACTTGCACCCCACATAGGCTTACAGACGTGAACATAGAGTGCTGTCGGCTTTACGAAACATATATACTAAATACACTTTTGTGTGCTAACAAACATCCATTTATCATAGATAATAGCAGTTAAATAATCTTTGTGCGCTTACTCACCTATGATAGAACTGCAATGGTCGGTATGGGACAGGTAGGATCGACTCTTCCGCAGCGAATTTTTAAACTATAGATAAACGGGCTATAACTGAGTAGGCGACGGACATTTCCTTCTTATGAACGACCATCGTAACTTGTGCGGTTGCCATTTTCTGACGATGTTCGCTGACGGTAACTCTTAACACGGGAACCGGGCTTCGAGCGAAATGACTATACTGCTTATTAGACACATAACACAAACTAAAAAATGGTAACAGAAAGCCATATTGAATTGTTCCAATAATCATTTCTTAAAAACTAACCAGAGTCCTATGACTGGAAATTTGCCATTGGTAATTACGAGTTGTCAACGATAGATGTATGTACATGCCTATAACGGAGAACGTCATAAGATGGTATCACGTTTAAAGATCATCGTATTTTTATGGTAGGCGACCTCATTATAAAAATTACTCAGGTTCGATTAGGACTCGAAAGAAAAAACGTGCTCAGGAAAAAGCTTCGCGGTCAGCGATTCTCATAAGGGGGTGCCTAATCTGACAGGGAAGAGATTTTTTCGCTAGCAGCTAACGTCCGTCAGTGGAATTCGCATTCACTACGACAATGTACAGATATTATTCCTAGGAACGTTACTTAATTGTGTAATGTTTTGGTCAGGTTGAAAGAGCTGGATACCTTTTTTGTAAAGTAATAATGTAATAGAAAAAAAAAAAACCTATTATAAGTCCTAAATAATTCGTAGCTGGTGCTTGAAAGCCAAACATTTCACCCAAATACGGTCCTGTTCCTTCAATTGGCTGAAGTGATACAGAGTTTCATTGCTCATAGCTGATTAATTAACCAACAAATGAATGGTACATAGAGACAAGGTACATGATCGAGATTTGGGCATGGGTACAGTCGCACTGTCTGTTTCGTCATTTACGTTTATGATTCTTACGGTACAAGAATGATATACGCTAGTCTGCACTATGATCTCACATTGTGACGATTCGAGGGCGTATCAAGCGTAACTGGTCCAGATTTCATCGTTACGTATCCAATGCCATTTATTATTACCGATCTTTCACCAACGCCAACCTAATTCCGAAGTATTTTCGCTGCACTTTCATACTTCCAAAAACTATGCATCTGTTAAACGTACGCTCATTTCGTGCACTCGTCTAAAGCACTGCTTAACATAAAATAGGTATGTTTCCAATTGAATTGTCACTCTTTCAGATACAAAAATACAAACAAACCTGTCTGGCCCAACAAATTTCTTATGCAGCTAAGACAAAGACTGAGTGCGTCTTCCTTTGCTTATATACGTATCATGTGAATAGAAACTCCGACCATTTCAGGCGGATACTAGCTTCGTTACTGAGCATGTATGATCGCCAGACCATCTACTGACGTAAGCATCTCTGGTATTGAGGTGGATCGGATAGGGTCTTATCGTTCAGAGTGGCAAAAAACTATTCAGATCGTATAGGAATGCTGGAAGCAATAAACAACTCCCGTATGCATTTCAGTGGGTAGCTAAGAACAAATTAATGTTTACACTCGATATTACAGTTGAGGATTGTTTCGCACAGAGCTCCCAGCATAAACAATGTATATCTATGTCCAATTTCAAATCTGGACCATCCTAAGTTCATATTCCGTAGAGCGGTACCCGTCCGCATATAAAGCATGTATGCTATGTTATTGGACTTAACGCGCAGCTGAACACATACAAGCATATGTACAGCTAATGAATAGTAGGTCAATGGTTGCCGTTTTGGCCTTGATTGATCGAAAGGCTTGAGCCTCTGAACTATTAAACGCTTCTTGTCCATCGTCACAACGACCCTTTAACTAAAGCGGCTTCATCTATAAATATCTATCACCATTATTATTATTGTGTGATCAATAGAGTAACATTCATTTTTTTTTTATAAAGTACAAACTGCTTGTGCTTGTTCATTAGCGCAGGTTGATAGCAGACGTTTATAGCCTAGGTAGAGGTATTAGAACGAGTGCCCGTTTTTTGCTTCGTCTAATCATCGTGATTTGTAATTACCTTTTCTCTAAAGTGAGTGAAACCTTTCTGGACAACTTACAGATACTTCAAGACATAGTGAAGTGGTTGTCGCTTTAGGTTAATTTTATACTAAGTATGTCAACGATTATTGATATACGACTTCAAGTTATTGTCGACTATGGCGAAGTTAATAGCTTTCTTTTTACTAAATAAACACATGTAGACTATCTACCACAACGAGTTAATGCGGACATTGGCACCAGAAAATACCGATCGCGACGCCTCTGTCTTAAATCTTTCACCAAGTAGCACGATAGTAGACCGTGGACGACATCGACTCATTTCCCCAATGAGGATACGCCAGCTTAGAAAAAGTCTGTTGTTACTAATGAAACGCTTCCGGTGGCAGAAGTGCATAGGCTAGTAGCGAACTCGCAGCACGATATGTTATAGACACGTAGGGCGTGCTTCTAATAGCTGCGCGTATTAAACTCTCCTATGTCGACTGTTTGATCGACAGAAGCGGTACTTCGAAAAAGCTTAGCTCATATCAACAACCTTAGCAGACAAGTCTGGCCTGACATACATATGGCAATGAAGCATGGCTGGAATATGCTTGTTTGCCACCAGATTAACATTGGTGTTTGCTTATTTCTGCTTTCCTAACGGTAACAGATGCTCACGCCATACAAGTAATTGATGATCCTTTCGCACTTTGCCTCAAAGAAGGGGGCAAGCACAGATAAAGAGATACGTGCTTTCAGAGCATTTCATGTGGGAAGCGTGTGAGAAAAAATGATGTAGCAAACATCAAAAACATCTATACAATGAAGTACGGTAGACGTTTGAGGTGGGTAGAAGGCAAGGTTTCTCGAGCCGATATAAAGTAATTTGTACAAAATAGCCTCACGCCAGCGTGGGAACCGTGCATTGGCTTGCTTAACAGTAATAATAGCTAATTTCGTTCTAGTCGTGTTGCTTGATAGCAGACGTATCCCGAAACGCTTCTGCCGTGACACTAAGGGACCATCGAGTATCCTTCAAGCTACACAAAATGAAAAATAACGTAGTTTTATAGAGTCGCCGAACGACTGGACACATAAATTAATAAAATATGACTGGCGGCAATGTTGTTTCTATTAGACCAAAGCTGCGTAACTTCTTTGATTATCCAAAATGAATTATATTTAATAGGTGAATTAACGAAAGTTTAAGTGTTTGACGTTCACAACGTTACGTTCTACGATGAAATGGGCGCGTGGCTTTAACTATTGAAGCACGAAGCACTTGATGCCACTGTCCAAAATCAATGTTATTCAGAACGTTGAAAAGCAACATATTTTTCAAGTAAGACCATGCAGAATACAGAATGTAGTACGCATACACAATTATACCGTAAAAGTTATCGTACCCCTGTCCACGCAAATAACCACCCATCGCGAGTGTTCATCCCACTCCTATGGTACGTCACAGTTGCTTTATCATGACGGAGATACGAATGACATCAAATTATATAGGTTTTAACATCCTTATGTCTATATGCGTAATTTGACATGGTGTCTTTTGTAATGTCAAATATATCGAAACAATAAGCCGCTGCCGTGACTGGATGAGAGCGGAACACCTGCTCGTTTTGATTATTCTATTGTCTAGATATTGAATATTTGTTGGCAAACGTTATCTGTTAAGCCAGCCTGAACAGACCGCTTAATTAATAGCTGGGAAATCACTGGAGGACATATGAAACGCATTTCATATGTCCTCACCCGAATATGACATCTATTTCACTCCAGTGCAAAAAAACCCCGTCGGCATTTGGAACCTACACAGCTTTTAAGCAGTTAGCACGAATACCCCCGCAAACCTCCCCTTTGAACAGCACGGCCTTAACGCTGGCAGATGATCTAGCACCTTTGCAACGTGATTTTAAATTCGGCCTGGCCAACATAGCAACAATCTGAATATCGCCAGCGAACTTCATAATCACGCACATGAAGTAATTCAGCCTCTATATATATAAAGGCCCTTTTTTATGAGTTTCATTTAATATTAACTGCAACAAAAACTGTTTATCAACAAGACATGATACACAATCTATCTGTGTATCGGCGTACGCTACGGACAAGCGATGACACGCAACGAAGATGTTTGTTTCGAGTCAACATGTAAACAGGCTTCTTTTTCTTTTCCCACTTCCGCACGCATGTCTTCGCGTTAGAGGGCGCTTGTTCTGCGCTGTTTTTACCTCGATCTGCGTTTGCGCCTCGGTATCTTTTTGTCATCGTGGTGTCAATATTATTCCGCGACGAAGCTTAAAAAATGAAGCCTCTTCCAATCAGAAACGCGCATGAAAACAATATCAAGACATAGTCAACTGTTGCTAGTGGTGTCGCCGCTGCTGCTGTTTCTATTGCCATCATTAGCCTACTACTATATATCTGCTAATAGTGATAACGATAAAAACAAAATAATCGCGTCTTATTATTATTTCCAGTCAGGAGTGGAATCGTTGGCCAATCGATAATAGGGATCGTCATAGTAGCAATAGCGTAATTGCCAATGTGTGTCTGCTGGAGGTGATGCCTCTCGCTGTAGCAATAGTGTGGCTACAGGGTAGTGCTGCGACTGCGGCAAACAGAAGCCCTGAAGGAACGCTCGTCCCCGCCACCCATCCTACAACCACCACCTTCAGCGGAGTATGATAAAATAGCGATTTATCTAGTAGCAATGAAGCATTTTCATACATAAATCAAAAATTCTGGGAAGATGCCGGTCTTCTCTGTCTATTCTGTTTGCTCATCTCTCTCTGTTTCTCCATTTTAGTGCCGCTAATGCTCTCACTGTTACGCTGCCGCGGCGCAACCGTTGACTGCAGATGATGTGGGAAGAAACGACCAAGTAGCGACAAAAAACGTTAAGCAAAAATAAAACAACTTCTAAACTCCTCTGCCTAATCAAGCGATTGAGTTCGCTTCGGGAAAGCAACTCCACGGGCTAGACGCGTCCACGAGCGTCTAGTGGAAGCGAAATTTGCGGCCGTAAGCAGTTCCACACCGTTCCTGCGCTCAATGGCCTGTGGCGCTGTAATGTGTAACGCTGCTGCTGCTGCTGCTGCTAATGCCGCTGAATTCTAAAGTAAAGCCGCGTTACAAAACATCATCTGTCATCTCGACCTGGATTTCTACGCTGAAATCTGCGTCTCGGTGCGTGTGACACTGTATTGGCCAACGAAATATAGACGTACACAGAAACAGATACCCAATGCATGCACCCTACGATGATTTATGCATTTCTAATAACTGTCGACCGTACGACGCGTGATCTCACATCAACGATGCGTGTATTCGACTCGTATATATGCGCCGTCCACCTTCAATGCTTATATATATATACGTAAATGTGGCTTATATGCTTTCAGCCATTATGTGGTACTGCCAATGTGAGCTTTTACATATGTTGGATTGTATACTATATATGCCTGTAAATGTTTATTTCGTTTCGTCAGTTGGTAACTTTACCAAGAAGTAAAGAAATTACCATTCGTCGGGCGGACGAATCGACAAGGCGCTAGTGGCATCGTATTCGCGGTCAGCTAGAACGGACCGTCGTAATAGGACAATCAAAATTATTCCAGTAGCAAAACAAACGCTTCAAAGTCTCTCGTATTTATCTTGACAAAATTGTATGCATGCATATATATATGCAGCAAAGCTAGACTCCGCTCTTTCCAGGGAATAGGTTTTTAGCTTCGATCGATCATTGACACCATAGTTGACAAACATCTGTGTCTTTATTACTAATTTTAAATTACATGGTAAGCGGGCAGTTTTTATACGTAAAACTTATACGATCCATATCCTCATTTGAATCCATAAGAAATACAAAATGACAACGTAAAAACATTGTTGATGGTAGCGTTAACAATTGAGCAATGCTAGAACAGCGAAGGTCGCATTCGATTTTTTGTCCTTTTTTCAACTTACGTATTATTACTTGTAAAAAGCTTTTTTCGACTATTTGTTGTTAAGATATATGGGGAATAAGTAAGATTCAAATAGCGCTTATTCATTTCCTGCGATAGATTACAAGGTAACGTGTTTGCGCATTAGGGACGTTGCGATCTAGGTTCGAATCCGGGCGTAGGCACACCTCGTTTCAGAAGCCAGCGGTCTGATGGAACACCTAACGACGCTGTTAGATGTAAATATAAAGACATAGCACCTATTGAACTGAACTCTAAGATTGAGCATCGCATGATTTTCAACCAACTTGACAAGAAAGACTACCACTATAAGTGTCCAAGGGAGGGTATTGTAACAGCTGTCGCTGATGATCCAGACTAATGGATCACGCAAGTACTATTGTATATTGCAATACTAAGTATATTGCAAGATCAAGTCAAAAGAACTATCGGTGCATTTTTAAATGTTCGCAACATAATCTTATCAAGAAATTACTCTTCCTCCATAACGTGTTTTTATACATAAAAAGAAAAAAGAAATAGAATTAAACGGTTTATAGCATTACCCGTGCTCACTAATAGCAGACTTTTTCTGTATCTTATTATATATGCAGCACCTTGCTGGCACTACTGTGTTCTATAAAGCAATCTTTTGTCACCATCTATATGAAGCTCGTAAATAAACAAAGCAAAATAAGCCTGGATCGTAAAACTAACTCCTAAACGAATTCGCACATATATGTATATATATATATATATATATATATATGTATATGTATACCATATACGTATTCGGGTTAGTATACCAGGTAATCAGACGATAGTGTAACAATAACGACGGATACATCAATTATAGATATTTAAACCTGGTGATATGCACATATACGAGGAGCTAACTGTCGTTGATCAAATGCAGGTCTTCGGTACATTGCTGATGTCATGGATCTACCGCTTTAGTAAATTAATCAATAGATAGGGGACCCACAAGCTTTGAATGTTTCTCAGCGCTGATATAGCCAGTCATGATCGCTACGCGAGTCAGACCAGAACACGATGTAATGCGTCAGTTCTGCATACGAGGAAAAGGGCGCGTGTTCGATAAAAGCGATATAGCTAATTATAGTTTCATATAGTTAGCATACGTTCTACATGCATGGAAAGGTCGCATATAATGTGTTAATATCTAGATGTAAAAAATCGATCTACTCTTGTCGCTATTCGTTTAGGCTGTGAGGCACTGCCAGGCAGATGGAGGCCCTGAATCTGAGGCTTGAGCCTGTATGTACATGTCATACACAAATAAATAATAGCAGTGAGCTAAGGTGGTTGCTATACACTATAGGGGAATAGAAACACCGACTCGAATGTATATGTCGCAAAAGAAAATCTACATGAAGGAGACAAATCCAGAAATTCTGGCCGGATCACCATGTGCCGTCTTAATGATATGCGTGTATTCGATCGTGTGTCCTTTGTGTGTCAAAACACAACCTGAAAGCTATTGCTTTCAGCTGCTTGCTGAAGATATTGCTGGTTGTTTTTTGTAAGATACTATAAGGGCTCCAATCAACTCGGTTGATTGGAACCCCTATAGTACACATTTAGAATATTGTCGGAATCTCTATCGGAACTTGTGTCGTACACTATCAATAAGCAGATGAATTTTTGGCAAATGTTCCAAAATTGACATACACCAGTAACTTTTCGTTGCGTAACGTATTATAGAATGATAGTCGGGGAAAGAAATCATGCAGGTCGCTGTCAGGGTTTTGATAGATCAACATGTCGCGATGCCTAGCCGATATGCGTTCTTAATTCAGGCTGTTGGCTTTTGAGAAACGAGGCTCTAGAAAGAAGCGCGAGCCAGTTTTTACGAAACTAATAAATATGGCCATTCACTTTAAGCCTCTAGCTCAGTTGTAAACAATAAATAACAAGATCCAGGACTTGCAGGTTTCACCTGTTAGGTTTTGTGTTTCATAGGAACGGATTTAGACTGTTCTCGAAGCGTTTCTATAACACTAATCGGACAGCGAGTGCTGCATTAGCTGGCGGAAAATGCCAACTCAAGAATCATCCTTAGAAAACACGCCAATGCCTTATGAAGTAGATGACTCATACTTACAACAACCAGTTTCTATCAAAAAATGAACAAGTCCCTTTTAATATGAACGATCAAAATCATGATATGGATGAAACTGGATTAATGTTCGGACATTAACGTATTCATCTGCGTATGACGGAAAAAATTTTCGAAACAGCTTGCGGTAAACACATTGTAAGTAAACAGTATATGGTGAAAAAAACAATAGGTGAAAACAATTTAATTCTACAATATTCATCAATAATACAATACAAGTGCTTCGTTCTTGTGCTAAACTCTTCCCCTACCTCTGATAGCCTGTGCCCGGTCCGACATACAGTGACAACCAGAAAAACAAGCGGTCACTGTGTACGTGCTTAGTCGCATGGGTCGAATACGCTAACCTTACCACTCCAACAGATTCGATCATTCCATTTATTGTGCCCGTCTGCCGTAAAGTTTAAGAGACCCACACAAAATCACGTGTCAATAAAGACAACTGGTCAGCCATTGGTGACGAGAAATGTGGAAAGATATGGAAGAAATCCTACATCGCTCCAGAAAATAGCATTCGCTTTAACCATGGGTTGTTCAAGAAGAACTGGTGAACTCAGCGTGCAAGATTTTTGTACACGTATTTCTATACGCACTAAAACATAAGCCGTAATGTAACATACGCAGAGGTCTTACGCATATATATATATATATACACACACCAGCGTTATAATGGCACGTTTCACTGAGTGCCGAAAGATCTTTAGATCGTACATAAAATATGAAAGAGTAGCTTATTCATTTTATTTAAACTATTAAATAAATCTCTTTGAACTTTGTTCATAGCACGCGATAAACCTTTGTCACGTTAGATGATATCGGTATAAAATTTCAACATTCTTATTTTTAATCAGTTTGAAATTGACTTATATAATTAGTTAATAGGCTTTGCTGATTTTTTAGTTAACACTAGAATATTTTATTTTCTATATTCCATTAATAGTAATAACACCAAACACAGTTTGCATTTTGTACTAGTTTGAGCTGTCGTGCTTTCTTAAACGTTTTAGTGCGTGAACGCACTCTTGTAATTCATCATGTAATGTATCAGACTGTTTCAGATATCCAATCATTCACTTTCAAGGCGTTGCCTTCGATAAGCCCTTTCCGTATACGTGTTATTATATCTAACACCATATCGCGTAGCACGCTTCTAACAGGCCCAGATCATATTATTTCTATGTGTACTCACAGGAACAGCGTGCCGCCGTGGCTCGCTGAAAAAAACTATTATGGAACTAAGAACAGTCAGGCTGACCTTGATATGACCTCTATATGACAAGAGCTTCAAAGGAACATGTACCTGCCGCGAGGCAAACGGCATATGAGAAACTAACACTACGAAAAGCTACAACCCTCGATGCTTCTTGACGCTTCTGGCCAGCCTCTGTCCTGCGCTATTCGTTCTTTTCACGCGCTCGAGTTTCAGGCCCGCAGTTCTATTCGACGAGTACAAAAAGCGGGGTAACAAAAGAGTTAACTATGTGTGCCTTTTACAGAAGAAGAATCACCAGCCGAGTGAATCGCCGATTTATAAAGCACAAAAGGTGACAACGGTTGATATGCGTTCGCAAAACTATCATGGCAGTCGCCCGCACACAATGCGGCAACGATCCTAACCAAGCATGCACGTGCAGACAAACACACGTATGAGCCCTGCGCGCCCCTGTTTCCCGGCGACCTACGCCACATGGGGCGACGTCATTCTTACAATTCGACACCGTCGAATCCAATTGACTTGAAGAGAATTGGCTGACCTGAACGGGATAAAAAGGGCAATTCTCCGTAGGAGCAGAATAAAACTGGTTAAGACAATTTCGCTTTTGACGGAATCGATGCTTGATTACCATTCACATTCATTTTGTTCTATCAAGATAATATAGTGCCGTTATCATTTCATCATCTTTGCTGTTATTGTAATTCCTTCCACTGAAACGGGCTATAGGTCTACGTACTAGCGAGGTGGATAGACAACTTTACTTTAGAAAATGCAGTAAAAATAAGCGAACGAAGGTAAGCCTATATAAGGCAAGGGCTAATGGGCCGCTTCATTTTTCTTCTGGCAAGAGAATAATGATTCAATGTCTTAGTATTCCATATCAAGCTTCCATATTTTTTTTAAATGTACGACCCAGAAATTTAACGCGATTCCAATTACTGGATTCTTCTTTTGACTAAATTTTAAAATGCCGTTTTTTTTTATAAAACAGCTATAAGCAGATACTATATTGATTGCCGTATTTCGAGCACACATAAAACCAGATGCCGTCGATATTACTTCTATAGAGAAAGTGAGAGACCTATGTGCTCGGCAAGTACAATTCAGTGCGCACGCGTATGTATGTACATGGCCGTTTCAAAAAGGCATTGTAGTTCCGCAGTTGTTTTACCATATGTCGTCGTTACTAGTCTCATCGTTACCATCGAGCAGTGCAGACGTATTCCAAAGGGCTCCGTGTAAAAGTGGAATTTGGGTGCGATTGGTATTTATTTTCCTAATGCTTTCTCCATTATCGGAAGAGGCCGAAGATCTGGCATCGCCCATCTTTTCTTCTTCAGTCAGGGAAGTATTTCGCACATTGTTTTCCGATTTATCTAAATATAACTTCTAACCTTTAACCCTTAACTTTAATTATAACCAAACAAAGGCAAATAGTAACACGGATTCGGACGATAGCATGATTATGGTTCTGTTGAATAACATAGATGGAAAGTCAACTAACTGAAAAACTGTTTGTTAAAAGATTGGCAGCAAGTGAACCCAGTTTGTCGATGAAAAGGACTTTCAGCTGCTCCTACACGCCGTGATGAGAACAATCGAAACTATTAGAAGTGTCTACGATCCGTTGGGTAATACCTCTGAGCCGCTCAGAAGTTTTCTAAATTTTTTGCTAGAGCAAAACAAATAGGTGAGTAGCGCATAGCAAAGGTATGAGAGAAAAAAAGGGGCATTCAACTACAAAGTAGAGCAACTCAAATACCAGAGATTAAGCGATAACAGTAGTAAAGTGAATGCCCAAAGTCAAACGGACGCTGACCTACTAACTGTGGAAATGGATGATGCACAGGTAAGGTACAAACTATTGAACTAACTAAACAATATTAGTCACCAAAGATTTACCAAAAAACTTTAATCTTTAAACAATCTATATTCAAGGACAGTGAAGTAAAAACGCTCTTATCAATGAACCAGGGTCCGAATTTGTAAAGAAACACAAACCCGTTAACTAAACAAACCCAAGTATCATCTGGATTATGGACTTAGCATAAGGGGGCTGAGGAAGAATGCCGTTGACTTGAACGAAACTGACCTAGGGGGATTTCTCCAAAGGTAACAATAGCGACGTTATTAATGAAAACCTTTTTGAAATCCTGCATCAAGAATCTGAAATTCTAAAGAACAGTGTCATTGAATGCTTTATCTCTTTTCTTATTTTACATAATGGGCCTAGATCCAAGGGATATGGGCA